CACTATAATAACAGTTATTTTAAATAAAAGTCGGCTTTTTATCGTCAGATTTTTAAACAATAAAAGTAAATGTCATTTATATTTATTAAATAAAATATTTTAGTCTAAATTTTAAAATATATTATAGCATATACTTTGAAACATTTTAAAATATTGTCATAAATGCATACTATAAATTATAAATTTTTATGTTTTAGACTTACAAAATAATTATATAAATACTTAGAAATAAAAACATTCATAAATAATAGTAATATTTTGGATATCTCATATAAATATTGCTATCATTTGAGAAATAATCTATATTTTCAAAAATAATGTATATTTGCAAATATTATATGTAATATTGATGTTTTGCTATACAACTTGTTGAAATATTAATTAAATGTTAAGATTGACAAAAAACATATTTAATTAGTAAAATATTCTTATTAAATTAACTAATTTATACTGTATATTACTAATTAGAAAAATGAAATCTTTAATTGTAATATGATAACATAAACCTAGAAAATAGTCAAATAAATGTAACAAACCTTTACAAACGAACGTTTTATTGTACAACTGGTGGAAACGGGTGGCAATGATGTGTTTCTATCACCACTTTGTCCATCCATTGTCTGACTTTAGTATTATAGCCGATACTTAATACAATTGTTTTATTTGTCGATTTCAGTGTGAATTGAGAGTGTTTTTTGCGGACAGCAACTAAACCCACGACTAAGAGATTAACGGTTTTGTGCGACAAAGAAGTTTGCATCGAAAATGAGATTTTCTGAACGGATGCCAGAAGTTTGTGATTGCGTTTGGAAAATGTCATCACAATCTCATAACACACTTCGCCTTCAATTCATTACTTCATTCACCTAAATATAACTTCAAAACATATATTGCATTCAATAACAAACATTTTAAACAAACATATAGTTTGCACATTTGTACTCACAATATCCCCTCAAATAAATGAAAAAAAGTTTGAGAAAATTTTAGATTCCAATTTTAATTACTTAGGTGCTGTAATACTTTCAAATTCAATTCAAAATGATCAATTTAAGCTAAGATTCTTAGCATAAGAACATTTAAGTTGCTTTATTTTAGATTAATTTTCCAAATATATTTAGACACTGTGCTAAAACACACATTTCTCGTAAGATTGATGATTATAAGTGAGTTTAGCCGCCACTATACTCTCAATATTAATTTAATTCATATAACATGGAATATAATCTATTATATACTCTACCACATAGTAATATTAAATTATATTCTGTACTTAATACAGTGAACTGTACCGTATTGAATATAGCGAGCAATATAACATATAAACGATAAGTAAAATAAATTACTATAGTAGTTGTAAATTAAATAAGTTTAAAATTAATAATTTAATGTAAACCACATAAAAATATTCTCTTGCAAATTTACAATAATTTTTGTGAATTTTATTTAGATAAATGATCACAAACAATAATCGTAGTAATCATATAATAATCTTAAACCTTGTTCAACAATTGCAACTATTTTTCGGATACAAACACTGTTTAACAAACAGAGTTCATTTTTATAATTGCAACTCTTATCTAAATGTGAATGATTTTTTGATGATATTTTAAAGTTTTTAAATAAAAAATTCTCATATTTTACAACTAATTTTGTAATAATAGAATATAGAAGGCATTTGGTTGTCATTTATATATGTTTTCATTAAATATGTTATAAATTATAACATATAATTGATTGGCATAATGGATCCATATACTTGTACTGTACTAACTTACAGTATAGTAATTCTTATGACTCGACTATTGCTTGTCAAGTAGTAAATTGAGTGTCAATTGTAAATATGCATAAAAATTTATGTTTCATTAAATTGATCAGTGCAAATAAACTCAAGAACAAGTCACTTGATTTGGATATCAATTCAAAAATATATAAATAATTTATTTAAATTATTATTATTGAGCTCTTTAATAAAAAAAATCAATGAGTTTATTAACAGTACGTTTTATACATACTGTATGTTAGTCTTAAGACTAGACTACTATATAATCATCAATACGTCCATACGTTCATAATTTGTATGAGGGTTAAATCATTGAAATGCTGTTAAAATCGTTGCATTAATTATTAGAGCATTAAAAGCCAAAGTATTTGAAGGTCTGTCTAAAGTATTCAAATAATTTAGTGTCAGTTCAACATTAATCAACCCTTTTAGTTAATCGACTTTTAGACAAATTGTGATCCCATCCCCCTTTCTGTTAAATTACTTAACAGAAACTAATGGCAAACCACTTCTCTATTAATGTCCTAAACACTAAAATGTTTTTAATTAAAAATAATCGTAGAAATTGTATTCAATTACTAAATCCATTGTTAATTTTAAATCAAAATAACTTTTTTGTTTCCAAATATTTGGTGAAGTATTTATAAGCTATAATAAGACATTGAATACTCCCACAATTATAACCAACGTTTGCACATATAATTTAATATTATATAACGTTGTCTGTCAACTATGACTATGTATAAGTTGTAACTAACTAAAATATTTTAAAAATAAATTTAATTTAATTGTAATAATTCAATTTATTTAATTTTTATTTAAAAAACTTTAGTTTTTAATGTTTATTGTAAAAAATATAATATTTGGCGATTTATGATATACTGTACTCAATTCAATGTCCAATTACCTTAAATTATTAGTTATTTATTAATAAATATATTTTATATATAATTTAAACACTGTATGAACATCTTTTAATGTTTATAGAGCTAAGTTTTATCCATTATTAATGAAATAGATGCTTATAATTTATAAGTTATAAAAATAATTAATTATTTAAGAAATGGCTTTACTAGTCTACTGTATAGTTGCCTTTAATTCACTGCTTTTATTTAATATAATAATTTGATTAAGAAATTATGTGATTTATTATATATATACGATATAAGCATAATACTGTATAAATAATAATGAACATTAATAAATGATAATTTGTTAAATTGTATGCCGTGTTTGTTTAGTAAGAATCTCGATAATAAAATGAATGATAAAATGTGGTCATATTTTGTTTACAAATATGAAACGAAAGGCCAAATATGATCTTATTTTGTATTATTTGCTTAATATATGAGGGATAAGAAAACAAACACTTTTGCTGGACACGTATTTAGCAAATCTGATCAGTTGTCAAAATTTTGGCTTTTAATTAAATAGAGTCCTAAATGGTAGCCATTGACTAGAGTTTGTCTTATGAATTATGTGTCAAATTATTATAAGTATTGTTTAATTTTTTGCCAACTAATCAATTGACTGCTGTCTACAAACTTTTTGCTCGTATTTTGTTTGACAAACATTTTTATTCAGTGTTACGACTCAATGGAGTCCTAAATCTTCAAATCAATTGAAGGGAAAAACTGCTTTCGTAAACATATTTCTTATCCATTGTTTTAAAATTGCTTAGAAAAGTGCTTTAAATTTAGACATCAAGTGATTTATTTAAAAGTTTCTTATTTGTGAAGCGATCTTGGCGTTTTAAACCTCTTTCATAAATCAGTGGATTTTTATTTCACAGTCAAGTAATTAAAAATATACTAAAATTTTCTAATTACATAAATCGTCTATTATATTAACAAACATTTTATGTAAAACTCTTTGTTATTGTTAAAATTATTTTTGTTAAAATTTAAAATTCAAATAACTTATTTGCAAAACTTTTGCAAAGTATAATATGGAGTACAGTATCTCATGATAGTATCGCGTAACTAATCCTCTAAACTCATAATCAAAACATTGAAAACTATAATATATAGTATGATATTTGTTGATGAAATGCTGATTTAAATGTCTAACAATAACATAAGTTAATGGTTTACTATAGATAAACAGTAACTGATTATTGCTGTTAGAAAATCGATGACAAAACAGCTCATACCAGGCCTGAAGCCCTCACATCACATCCACATTCATTAGCAGATGTGTGGAGTCTATCACTAGAATTCATTAATCTATTCAAAAGTGAAGGCCAAACACCATAACATGAATCCCATTCCCATTCTGTGCACCAATTCTGTAATATTCTGTACATTTTAATGAGAATTTTAATTATTCATTAATAGGTAATAAATTTGTTGGAAACGTATTGCAATTTATATAAATTTATTAATTATGCAATTCTTATATTTTTCAAATCAATTATGATTTCGATGTGATAAACAGTAGACTAAACTTTTTTTTACTAATAAAGTCTACATTAATTTTATATAATAAAATGTATTCATAACTTATAACAAAGTTTTCTAAAATATTTTGTTTTTCAATATTGTCAGCCAATAATTTAATAGTATTTATATTTTGTCTAAACATTACTTAAAATCATATTAAGAATATAAGAAAACAGTGAAATTCAATGAATTATAATAATAATGTGATAAACATTAAGTAAATATATGTAACACGATTTATATATAATTATTATAACTCTAGATAACATGGAATAGCAAATTTAACTAGTTAATTAAATTTGCGTATAATTGGTCTTTGAATACAATATAATATAATTTCTTATAATATATTTATATTTATATATATATTAGTCTTTAGTCTCAAATCTGATGTTCCCATTAATGATGAATAGAAATGTCGAATAGTATTGAATCACAGCTTAGAATCAATGATTGAATCATTTGATCAGACATTAAAACTGGGAAGTTTTGGGATGAATCGGCTGTGCTGTACATCCGTGGGTTGGGGTCATAACAAAGAGAGAAAAGTCATTTAATATGTCAGTTATCATTAATATGAATGTTTCATAAGTAATAATAAGTAATAAGTAAAAGTTTAGATTTTCAATCAGAAAAAGTGAGATAAGAGAGGAAATGGAGAGTTTGAGTAAATATATGATTGAATAACAAGTAAATAGAAAAGCAGTCATGAAATATGAATAAGATATGAATGTTTGATAAGTTAGTATAAAAGCGCACCTTTTGTTTAAAATGTCTATTAAATGGTGTTTAAACTGAAAGCAGCAAATCATTCATTAGGAGAAGAAAAAGCGGTAAAACAAGTGATACTACAAGTGATTTCTAAAAGAGTTATCATTATCATTATTAAGTTTGAATCGGTAATAAATATTAGAATTTGTTAATTATTAGTAATAGTCTTAAAGAGCAAAATAGTGAGCTTTTGGTTTAGAAATCTTATTAAGTAAGGGAAGTGGTAGTGTTAGCGGCAGCCAAAGCCAATTGGTCTCCAACTTTCTTCGCACTAAATGTTATGACTCCACGAATGCCTTTCACAGAAGTCTATGTGCGATACGATAGGGAATCAAGCCTTAAGCCATTGTTTAGTCAACACGCGTTGCATTTCTAGAGGTCTCACCTTCTTTTTGGTACCGTTTAAGTACTCCTTATACATATCCGACCGCAGATACCGCGGGTACGAGTCGTTCTTCATTAGTTGGTACACATGGCCCGCGGCCTCGTCGAAGATCCATCGGTTGTTCGGGTTGTTTGCCATATTTATCTTGGTTATTTCATAGGACTTGCAATCAATGTTTATGGGACAATTGGCGTCTGTGTGTCGTTGGAGTCAATATTAACAAGTCATTTGTATTAGTCATTCAATTTCATTCGTATCCCATTAATCATATCTTATTGTCAATCAATACCTGATCCGAGGTATTCATTCCAAATCTCCTGCACTTTGTGGGACACATCCCGACTGTGAACACGTTTAAGCTCTTGGACCGCATCCCAGAATCTGTTGTATGAATTCATGAGATTTTTAATATTTTTTAGAAATATTTTATCAAATATTTATCAAATACTGTAATTCTATTATATACTGCAGTATTGAAACTATTTAATAATTGAAAGCATAAACCAATATATTGTATAAAGAAGTGAAACTAAATACTGTAGTTATAAGAAAGAATATTCGTGTTTAAATGACAATCAATTATTTTTAAATGTTTCTTATATATAAAGCATTTCTGCAAATTCTTGGTCTTACGTCAAACACTATCATTAGTATAAATATTAAAGTTTCATATCATTTTAATATTTTATTTTAAATCAATCAATAATTATTTTCTCAATTATGTCATAAAAAACTATTTTTCATATTTTCCCAAGAAAAGCTATTCTTGGATTACGATAGAAAAATTTTCCATTATTTTTCATACTTATTTATAACTTAATAGATAATAGAATATTTACCAAGTTAAATAGTTTTTGTATTAAATTCTGTTAAATTATTCTAAAGCTACTCTTAAAATATCTCTTTAGATTGATGTAATTTATTTGGCAATAGTTTATTAATTAAAATGCATTCTCAAATCCTATTTTATATATTCAGTCAAATATAAGCAGTTTAATTTTATATAAATAGATTATAACTATGTGTATAATAGTATTAAGTTTTCATGTAAGTTTCATAAGTTATCCAAATATAGCACACTTTAATGTCTTTATTTCATATGAAACGACAAACATTAACTTATGATATATAGAAATATCGCAATAAAATAATTAGATGAAAGAATATCTATAAATATTGACATTACTTGAGATTTTCGGCGGAAAATTCTTTTTCTAAGAATTTGATGAATTGTTCCCTTCCGGCCCCGTCTTTCAGTAGCTCTTTCAGAGAGAAAGCCCAGCGCCGGACCCGTCGACACGGAACGTCTTTCCTGTAGTTTATATTTCATGAAATTTTCAATTAGTATTCATTTATTAAATCAATTTGTATGGTATATACGTTTGTCTCTCCAGTTCCCAAAAGTCTGTTGAATCACTTATCCAAGGATTTGAAGCCATCTAAAGATGTAATTATATTGAGTTTTCGGATAATATATGATTTCAAATATCTCATCAATTATGTGATAACATTAAAATAGAGTAATAAAGTTATAATTACAGAAATGAGTACCCCTTTGGTGGGTTCGGGTAATGTAATGAAGGGGTCGTATTCGGCCCACTGTTCATAAAACGTTGAGTAAGATTCGGCGACTTTACTGATTTTGACGCCTCCTATCCTATGGTCGAGCCTTAGTCTCAATGAGTCGATCTCACGCTTCAGTACTTCGCTTTTGTCGGCTTCGTTCACAGGACTGACACGTCCGCCACCGACAGAACAGGCCAAGTGCTGCACAACACATACACATCACATCATTATCACCACTAGTGAGCCATTGGGTGACGACAACAGCATTCATGCAAAGCATTGTACTTACAGTGGATATCTTGACGCGGGTGCGATTGACGGGTTTGTTCATACGGCAGGCTTTCTTTATATCAATTTCTGTTGTGTTAACACATCCAGGCTTTGCATACAAGCAAACAATTCAAGTTAAATGTACTGGATGTTAATTAATACCAATAGCTGACGGATGCCTTACCACTGGTCTGTGAACGTCCCAAAAAGCCCTCTCCTGGGAGTCCAAAACTTTTCGCTCCAATTTGTCTCTCTTCTTATCGACTCTTTTTGGTTAAAAACAAATAAATAATTAATTAAATGCAATGCAATTGAGAGCGAGAGGGAAGGGTATGTATTCATGTGACTGACTTGGCCTGAGCCTCCGCCTGCATGAAAATGAATTCCCATTTTCTGGAGAACATCTTCTGAAGTCGGGCCAAGTTCTCGGCCTCATAGTCGGCGAGCTCTAGTCTAGTCTTGTTTTGCATGGTCCGTTTGCACAGATACACCGCATAGTCCGTGTTCTCCGGTTCCCAGCAGTTGGAGGGCCAGAAGTATGGCGTTTGGAATCTATAGAAAGTCGAGTCCGACTTCACACTAATGGAGAGAGAGTTTCTGTTTTTAAATAAATCCAATTTAACACTCAGTTTCAGCTCTAATCTACTCAACGTCACAAACACTCCATTCAATAGTTACCTCAACACGTGATCATCAATTGGAAAGAAGTAGCCGTGAGATGCCATCAAATTAGCCAAATGTAGGGCTTCTGTTTGGTCCTCGAGATCCAGACTCTTCATCATCCATGCGATCAGATCTGTGCCTAAAATAATGGATTCAAAAGGTGTGTGAAAATAATGGTAATGATTGCAAATGCAATGTATTGAATACCAGTGAAAACACTGGGAATTTTGGACATAAAACTCTTGACGGTGCGGACGGGAACCCCCAGCTGTTCGTCTTGCATGCGCTCTATTATCTGTTCCATCTGTTTGGACACAATTCAAGTTAAATGTACTGGATGTTCATTAATACCAATAGCTGGTGGCAGATATACCTTATTGTAGACGATTTGATTGGGATTCCATTCCTCGCAGTGGTTAGAAGTGGAGACATTTGTCTGACTGGAACTGCTGTCGGCGTCGCTATACGAGGCAGAGTTGGACGCCTCGGCCATCGCCTTCATATGTCTTCTGTGGTAATTATAAGCCATCCCTTCTCAACTGTTTGTTGTATTCAATTTTTGATCGGATTATAGTTTTTTGGTCAATAAATATAAGTATTTAAATAAAACTCTTAAAACACATTTTTGGATGTATTTGTCAATTTCATTATTCTTGAAATTATCAGGAATTTTGGCACAAATTCTCTAACAACTCAGTTATAAACATATTGTAGTCATTATATACAAGTAATTATTATTATTATTAATACACTTACAGAATATAATAGTCTTTTATATAAATATAATTTTTGACTTAAGAATTGAAAATATAATTAAGAATTTAATGATATGAATAGTTTGGATGTAATTAATCTAATTTATTGGAGCCTTCGCCTGAAGTTTGAATAATTGATTTACATTTTTAATTGCTTTTGAAGTGAAATATTGTTTGAGAGATCGGAATTAAAAATAATGGATGTGTTTGGGTTTGGGATGCGTTAAGAGCGGCCATTTAGACCATCACATCACAGACATCAACAGCTGAGCACTGGTTCTGTAGGAATATGTCTAATAATACGTGAAGAGACGGAGCAATCGCAGCACCACTACATCCGTCACCAACACATCCGCACAGTTACGTCGTTCTCAGCGGTCGATACCCCAGTCCCTCATCACCACTACTGATGGCGTCACTTGATTTGCAACTCAAACACCACTCACGAGACACTCACTCCCGAGACACACAACTGTCCGACAATTTGTTCATTAGTTGTGTGTTTTGGGTATTGGTTTGGGTTTTCGTTTTACACAATAATGTTATTCAATATAACTTATTTGGAAATTATTTGCATTTATTATTTTATGTAAATAAATATTAATATAATATTTAGAAAACACAATAAATTTATTTAAAAAATTTGTTTTGAGGCAATGCATTAAATTAAATTATGATTTTATGAAATATAAATGATTCTTATTTAAATAACTTTATATTCAAACATGGTTTATAAATTAAATATACTGCATGCAGTTATAAAGGTTGAAAAGTAGATGAATTTTAAACTAATGTATTAGTTAGATGAATTTTGAATTTAAATTACTAAAAAAATTAGACATGTATTTAAAAGTTTTGAAAAGATTTAGGTTTGTAGGAAACTCACACTTTTTACATTTACATTAATTATTTATATATTTTGTATATTTTCTTAAAGGCACGTCTAATCTATAAATGCTTCAATTGTATAGTGATTTATAAACAAAATACAATCGATTGACTTATTTCTTACTTTAAAACAATTGAATGAATGAAATAAAAGGAAACAGGAATTGAAATCCTTTATTATTCTGTTGAAAATATTTGACTCAAAGAACTTAAAGAATGAGATTTCCATTTCATTCATTCAATTAGAATTCTTGACGCGATTTTTGAGTTTAAATAAGATAAATGACTGAAACACTACTTATACCTAAACTATTTTAATGTCTTTAATCTTATGGACTTACGTTTGCTTATATTTATGGACTCTTTTTTTATTAACCAGTTTTGGCACTTATCTGTAATACAGATAGACATTCATTAACAGCTATTGTCTACAATGATAACTTTTGTGAAAAATATTACTTTAAAGCTATATTTGATATAATTTATAAATTGACTTAAATGAAACATCCATGATCACTAATCATTACAGATTTACAAAAAATATTTTACAACTATCATTTCGGATACAAATGGCAAATAATAATAAAATGACAAATTGCATGCAAAGTAAAATCAAAAGTACGGTATTCAAATAATTTACCAAAAGTCATAAAATACTGGTCTCGTAATGTGTTTTCAAAATGAATACCAAATTGTAAAGATTTTTGTTTAATTTTTGAGCACTAAATCATGAGAGAAACTAAAATAAATAATACAAACAAAAACCTTTGCCTTTTATGGAAACAATTTTTTCGATTGCTTCTGAATTAAATCAATATTTAATGGATTTGTACTGAAATATCGTTTTTATACTTCAAATATAAGGTATTATATTTCAAACCATACATTTTTGGAGACAAATGTCTTTAAAGGTTATCTTACAATGTCTTCAAATACTGCTTTCAAATTCAGTCAAAAGGCTCCCAATTATCCAAATATATGATAGATCTTGTGGTCAAGAGATAGTACTTTGAGTCAAATTTTATCAATTGCTTGATGAGTAAAATGAGAAGATTTTATTTGTGGCCATTATTTATAACTTTAATAATTCAAAATTTCCTTTTTATTGAAGACATATTTCAAAAATATTTTCATAAATATAAAAACTTTTGTGGTTATATACGAAAGTATCGAATAAATTGAAAAGAATAACAAAAAATATTTACTCAAATGAAATGTTGAATTAAATAAATATTTTATGTCAAAAGATGAAAAGTAACAAATTTAAGTTACTCTTAATTTTAAAACATGTCTACCGATTCTTTATTTTATTTATTTCATTAAAAATTTAGTCAATTAGTGTTTTAGTTTAGTTTAAAACTTAATTAAATAGAAATTTTGTAATAATTATCATTTTATTATTACTATTAGGTGATTTATGAAGTAATAAGATTATATACCGGTAAGTTGAGTAAAATAATCTTATCATTTTATTAGAAGTACAGTAAATAGATTATATTATTTAAAAATATTTTTAATTTATAATTCTTTTAATCATATTATATTTTATAATTTAAAGTTAATAAATTCTATATATTTGATTTATTTGAATTGTATGTTTGTATAAAATTTTTGGTTAGAATTTTACTATAATCAAAATAAATAGCAAAACAGTGAAACATTTTTTAGGGCTTCAGAATTAAGGAAATAATATAATTCATGGGATTTTCGGTGAAAAAAGTGTCAATAGTTGACAGAAATGAATGCAAAAACTCTTCTCTATTCTCAATTCAAATGAATCATTTGTGACATAAAATGTTTTTTATTTTATTAAAATCTGGAAATCTAAGTTTAAAAAGCCATCAAATGAATGCATTACGAGATTTAGATTTAATTTTCGCAAAAATGAGTTCATTTATTACAGCATTTTCTCAAACTTTTATCCCATTTTTATATTAATTTAGTAAAATTTGAATTTTATTTTTATCTATGTTTAAAAACCAAAAGTTATTTTGTTTTTTGCACGTATTCCCATATCTTCATGACTAGTAAAGCCATTTGAATATTTAGACAGAATATATTTTTTTAGCACGGATTTGCTAACGTTGTTTTAATATTTGTTTAGCAGATTTGGTGTTCAAACCACTGCCACCGTAGTGTCAACACAATTGCTGTCATTTTACACAAGAAAACTAAATAGCAAATATAACTTCAATTAACTTTCTACAAAATGCTTATTTCAAATAATGTATTCATCCATTAGACTAAATTGGAAATTATTTTTATTCGTATGTTCAAAAATTTCCATTACTTTTGATTTACATTACAGTATATGAATTTGTATTGTGGGCGCAGACTATTGAGCTATTTTTATTACAAAATCACTCGATATGCTCTCAAGAATCAGACTATATATTGGATTTATATTTCTGTTTTTACATTCAATTAATACTGTGTTTGGGATCAGATGTGAGTGAATTAGCCATTGGTGTGTGATTCGCATGTATCGCACAATCTGTTAAAGTCAGCCAAAACTTTTGAGTTGAAGAGTCGGGGGAATACTGAGACACAAGTATTGCTAAGTTTTTTTGTCCACAAAATTATTTGTTTAGAACTAATTTAAGTCACTTCGGTGGGGATACAAAAAAGTGTTGTCAAACATAAGTCACATATAAAATACTTAATGTTCGGTCGAGTAGTCTTTCAAAACTAAATCTTCTGGTATATTAACTGTATTACGAAATATAGCGTTTGGTATGATAGCCGGCCGTGCGGTGAATGTGCTCTACTTTGTGACACAAATCAGTTCACAGTTTGTGATAGTTGTGATCAATTTGATGCTGTGATCTCACACATGCTCTCCTCCACCGCTACCTCTCTGTGCTCTCTCTATGCTCTCTCTATGTTCTCTCTCTTTTCCATTCTCTCGAAACTCTCACTGTTTTCTGTGCTCTCAATACAACTACCAGTGCTCTCAATCCACTGGCAATCAGTCCTTTCGCTGCTTTTGGCTCATATACTGCATTAAAGTCTATTCATTTCAATTGAAAACACAATCCATTCTTATTCTAGTGGTGTATCTGTTTGTGGACCGCATGTCATGTCATGTCTTTTCTTTCGCATATTTGCTGAAGAATGCAATCAAATGAATAGAAACTCTAATCAATAGAAAATTAAACGAAACAACTATTCGTTTGATTGTTTTTTATCGTGTAATTGATTCCCAGATAATACTGTTTTCAACTAATATTGCAAACACAATATAAGTAAAAGAAATTTCTATAATAACTCAAAGATTAGTTATTTGTGTAAAAGTATTAAAATGAGTGATGATATCAACACAATATCAACGAACAACATCTCCGAGACTCAAAGTCTCAACTGTGGTGCTAATGTAGTCAATATGGGTCTGTCCACTCCCGTCACAACCCCGGAGCCCAAGTCGACGAGCATTCCTTCGGGCTCTCGATCGGAGATCCATTACCCGGGAGTACAGAACCCCTCCAGAATATACGAGTCCAAGAAAAAGAGAAAAATAGTGCGAATAATGACAGTAATGGGGTATATGTTTGCGGTCAGTTTGGCAGCAATTGTACTTTCATTATACTATGCTTTCATATGGAATCCAAATATGCAAACAAATAATTCAACAAATTCTGTGAAACAAGACTCAGACACAGGAGGAGGAGGACTGGTGTCATCACTAGAAGAGTCCGACAGTAAATCATTGGAAATCTCATCTCAAAACGAAAAGCACATCAATGTTGAGCCAATTGTTTCCTCTTCACAACTATTAAGTGAAACCAAAACTAAATTAGACTCTACTCTGACAACTGTACCGCCGCTGAGGCCCATCGCTAATGTAACTAATGTTCAAAATTCTGTTTATTCCTCGAATACATTATCTGTAAATCGAGAGAAAGAAAACGCTTTCAAATTAATGTCAAATACTGATGATATGGGTTCCATGTCTGACCTGAGACTGAGTCCCAGAATCCGTAATAACAAAAACATGAGACGAGAAATAACACGAGAAATATGGGAAGAAAACAATCGGACGGAAATCAATATAATAGACAATCAAATCGAAATAAGTCTGAATACAAACTCAACACAAGAAACCATTTCTTTACTGTCGTTAAGACTACTAGTGATTTACTCCGTATTTAACTAACATTCGAGGGTATTCATTCAGGTATTGATAAGCAGAGAAAATTA